CAGCTGCCTGGACCATGCAACGTGCGGCAGCGGCGGCAAACGGACAAGATACGGAGTGGCTGTGCTCGTCCACTTGCGCCCACCAGGGGCATTTCCGGAGAGCTCGATGTGACGCTTTTTGGTGAGGCTACAAATTCCACGTTTGCCAGAACAGCGCTTACAGATCGACGACGGACTGCCGCCGTGCCAAACAAATATTCGAGTCGCCTCTTCCAGGGGGCATGGCACTGGCAAAGATCGCAGCAGGCATCGAAAAAGACTGGGCTACTCATGAGTTGCGTCATCTGCGGAATCCACAACATGACCGACGTACGTGGGTTTTCGAGGAACACCGGGATGTTGGATACAATGCAGGTCTTGATAATCACAACACTGAACAGGGTCGTGGCACTACCGATCCTCAGCCGCTCGCGCTCGGATACAATCAGATCCAGGACGCCGAACGGCCGGTCACTGCTACGAAGAAGGCGGCACAACGCACGTGTCCAGGACGCGCGGGGTGTGCCGAGCCAGAGACCTACAATGCATCCTGAAGTTAACCATCCGACGATCACCCGCTGAAAGGTAGGGTCAAGGTGATCCTCGGATGTAGGGTGGGATAGCCAAGGCTATTGATCTCAGCTGCAATTCTGCCACTGCCGGCGAAAAGCTCCAAGAAGACAACATGCTTCATGAACCTGGGACGTGGTATGCCACGCGCGCGGAAAGCACGCTGAAGATACCGGCGAACCTCATGCCCTATAAATTCACCAGAAGCGCGCGTGTCACGCCGACGCCCGGGCCCAGCGCCGTCGCGATCCGCGGCGGCAGCCGCGCCAGCGACCTTGGGCTCGAGAAGCCCTCGGGCATCGCGTTGGAGAAGGTTGCCTGGGCAGCCCTGCCGAGCTCGAACGCATCCTCGGGCACCTTAGCCATCTCGAGGAGGAGGCGCGTCGTCTTGCCGTGCCCCTTGAGGCTCGTGATGGTCGCCCACCTGCCCTTGACCTTCACCTCGCCCTGCGCCCGCGCGCCCGCGACGAGGTCGTCGCCGGCGTCGCCGCGCCGCAGGGGGCGCAGGTGCGGCGACAAGGACTCGAGGCCCAGGATCTTCACCAGCAGCGCGAACTGCTTCTGGAGCTCGGCGGGCGCGGAGTCCCACGGGCTGCCGTCCGCGAACGACTGGGCCTCGAGCGCCTCGAGGCACGGCGACCGCCAGCCGCGCTGTTCCAACGACGCCGCCGCGTCGAACATCCCCGTCTTGCCTGGGCCCCCCAGCGCCGCGTCGTGGAGCGGCAGGCCCCGCGAACTGATGGCCGGCCGCCGTCTTGGGAGCGACCGAGTGCTTGCCGAGCAGCAGGAGTGCCTCGCGCGGTTTCACGCAGCAGACGAACGCGATCACGATCCACAGGCGCGTACGCGGGAAGCCCAGATGGCGGAGGCACCCAGCCAATGCCATGGCAGCCGCTCGGGGGAGTGGCAGCCTCGTGCGAGGCGGGCCTGCCTCCGCCAGGCCACAAGACAGCGGCTGGCCCGCGGCAGCTACTCGGTCGTCATCCTGCACAGCTCCGGGAGGAAGTGGGGCAGGCTCGCCATGAGCTTGGACCCGCCCTCGACGCTCGCACCCTCCAGGAACTGCGCGTTGAAGAAGCCGACCAGCAGGTGATCCAGGTCGCTGGTGCTGTTCCAGTCCGCGCCGGAGCCCTGACAGTACTGGACGAAGCGCGAAGCTCGTCGCGGCGCCCGCGTGGAGGCCCTCCGTCCCCGGCGTCGCGGCTGGGCTCTCAAAGGGGCTGAGACCGCCCACCGGAGCGCGGCGCCCAATCAGGCGCGAGGCCGACGCAGCCCTCTGGGCCTTCAGAACACCAGCCTTCGAGCAAGGCTTCGCCCGCTGGCGCGGACGCGGCAGCGCCCTTGCCTTGGGCGCCATGGCCGACGCCCGGCTCGCGGCGGCCGAGGGGAGCGACGTCGCCCGCGACAGAGGAGGGCACTGGCGTCCCGGAGCCTGCAGGATTCGAGCCTAAAGCCGCGCGCACAGGCCGATGAGGAAGGCGAGGTCCAACAAGCCAGCCGAGCTTGCCCCTGGAAGGTGTGTCGGCTGGGTTCTTCTCCGACGGGATCCACCGCATGTGAAATCTCGCGCCCGAAACCAGTGATAGACATGCTAGCTTCCGGAGGGGCCGAAGTAGGTAATAGGGGGCCCCGCGGCCCTTGCAGGCCGCCAGTGCCAGTGGGAGGTTGTAAAACCAGCATGGCCACCCGACGATTGAAAGCCTCCGACGTCCTCAGGATGTGCTTGGCGGCCACCATCCGGGCCTCTCCCTCGAGCTCCAGGATGTCGGCACTCACGAGGACCCTTGAAGCCAGCACTGCGATCCAGGGGCCCTTCAACACGTCGTTAAGCACCTCCTCGAACAGAGCCCGGGAGACCTCAAGAAACTTTTGGAGCCCCTGTGTCGTCGTCGACGCCGACCCCTTCGTCGATGTTGTTGCACATATGAGGGGCCTCGCAAGAGACCCCTAGGCAACTATCCAGGGCCCCGAGACCATGGGCGCCATCGACCAGGCTATGATGAACGTCATGATGTTCCAACGCATGTTTTCTGGCACGCTCTGCGCCTGCCACCTGGAACCTCCAGCGCTCAGCATGTCTGCCTACCTCGCCAGACCGCTCAGGCGACGCAGCGCTCGCGCAAACGCCGTTGCCGAAGAGGGGGCGCCTGGTGCTGCGACGACGGTGTGCCATGGAATATCGATCTTTGTGGAGAGGAGGGGCAGGGTGGAGCGGAACGTCAAGAACTCTTGCGGCACCCGCGGTCAAGGCATCTGGGGCTGGCTGCCGGCTGACTGCATGAACTGGCACGACGCACAGAACACCGAGAGCACCTTACGACGCAGCAGCGACGCCCAGGCCATATGACCCATCACTATCAGAAGCGCGGAGCCACTGCAGACCCCCTGTTGGAGCAGCGATTCGATCCCGAACCTGAGGCGCCACATGTTGGAGGGCCTAATGGAGATCATGGAGCCTTCGCTAAAATTCAACCCCGCGAGCGATATGTCACGACTCGATGCGCTCAACTCGTGCACTGTCAAGCCGATGGGGTAACAGCCGACGGCAAAACCCGTCTAGGCTCGACTCAACAGCTTTACGGTCGGAGCCTATCACCATGAAATCGTCCACATATCCTGCGCTGGCCGTGTCCGAGCGCATGGAGAGCGAGACAGCAGGCGCGCCATCCTCGACGATGCGAGACGAGTCGCGCCCCTCTAGCTTCAGATCGTGCTGCAACACACCTTGACAGATATGAAGAGCCCAGGACCAGCCCATGGGGAGTACACGCGCACGGAGACATCATTGCGTTTACCGGGGCCCCATCGATGTCGACGATCCCTAAATGCCTAGCTGCGATAGCCGGAAGCCTAAACATTCCGTCGAGTCATTCTGGAGTGGCAAGTCTATAAAGCACACACGATATCACCAGCTGCAAAAGACGCGCCCCGCCCCGCATTCTCGAACCCCGAGATAGCGCCGGGAGTAGGAAGTCGAGTGCGGGGCGGGTCAACAAAAAAGGGCACCCGCTGCTCTAGCATCAAAGATGAGCCCGATGTCGCCAGACTTTTCGGCGACGAAAAAGATCCCGACAGTAGTTTTACGATTGGCGGCCCTGCGATGCCTCGCCACCCCTCGCTGCCTAAGATCAGCGCCGACATCGCCGCAGGCAAAAGTGTTGCGCTTCAAAACTGGATCAGTGCAGGGGCCGTTCGGGCACAGTTCCGATCGCAAAGAATCAGCATCAGCCGGCGGTCTTCGCATGTGATCGCGCCAGCGACCGAGCCACTTCGAGTCGGCCTGCGCGGGGCGCCCAGACAAACTAGTTGGCAGGTTGCCACGTGCAGGCCAAGAGACCTTACTCTTCACATGCGGCCGTTGGGTCGAGAATTCCTGTAGAGGCCGGACCCAGCAAAGAGCGCGCCGAGGGCCCCCTCGCGAAAATCGGGGTCGTCGGGAGGCGGCGGCGCACTGAGGTAAGCCGACTCGACCCGGCGCAGGGCCGCCTCCTGACCGGCGTTCCGCACCTCGGCAGAGGGGGCGCAGAAGCCAAAAAGTTGGTTGAGGCTGGAGGTCCCGTCGGCGGCCCAGTCTAACGCGCGCGAGCTGCGAGCAAGCCTGCGAGCTGTGCCGCGAGAGAGCTTCGAGCCTACGCAGGACTGCGACAGCTAGCCAGAGGCAGTGGAAAAATATCTCGGTGCCGCCCCGGGCACTGCAAACCTGCCTCAACGCAGCTAATTTCGGCTCGTGCAGGGGCGCCAGCCGAGGCAGGGGCCGGCGAGGGACACGTCGCCCCTGCTCCTGCTGGCCCTTCGGGCCCTCCTTGGGGCGCGCGAGAGCGCGTTCCTCGCGCGCCTCCCTACGCCCCTTCATCACGGCGGATTATTTTGCTAATTCGGCAGCAATCCATTCGGTGAGAGCTGGCATGACGCAGAGATTCCCTCGGACCCAAATCAGTCCCACGCGCGAGATTGGCGTCGAGCCTGTCGTCGCTGCCACCGGCCACTTTGTCCCGATGGCGTCCCTCCGCAACCTGTACCTCGCGAGCGGCTATCTCCGCAGCCGCGATGTTAGGGGCATTCACCTGATCATAACAGGCAAGAGTCTCTGGCAATCTACATCCACCCTCATGCGACTCGACGCCTGGATCTCCAGGCTGCAAGCGGCAATCCGCGCGCCACCTGTTGTGCTGGCCCAACGGAATACCTCCATTCGATGGCATAAACCTGCAGACCCAAAGAATCGCCCGCGGCCCTGTGATCGGCCAGTCGGGCCACGGACCCGGGACCCCGCCAGCCCCACAAGGGGCCGCCCCGGGAGCGCCCGCAGCCCCACCAGCAGCAGCAGCGACGCCCGCTCCGACAGGAACCACACCTGGAACGCCAGCAGCCCCGTCGCCCCCCGCGGCGGACGGACCTCCCGCAAGGACGGGAAGGCCTGCCAGAAACGGATGAACAAGGCCAGCTGGGGCAGGCATGCCAAGGCGCCGGTAGCCGGCGCTGCGTGCGGCGGTCAGCTGCGCCACCGTCAGCGGCGCCCGGAAGCGGTAGTAGGCGGCACCGACCCCGGCGTGCGGGACCACAGCGATCGGGCCATCGAGCCCGACCCAATCCAGGACGTTCGCGCCCACCATCAGATCCTCCTCGTACTCGTCCAGATCGGGCGTTATGACCGTCACCCCGACCGGGTAGTTGGGCGAGCAGCCACAGCACACACGTAGATGCCAAAGCTCCCGTCCGTCAACATTGTATCGCATAGCAAAGTACTGACCTCGCGAGGCCCAAGAGGGTGTCCCACAGCGGCTGCTGCCGCCATGGTTACTGTTGAAGAGCTGGAACCTGACGCCGAACCTCGGCCTGCTGACGACGAGCGAGCTCAGCAATGTCCTCCTCCGGAGCAGCACTTGAAGCCTGGACGCGACCAGCCGCCCTTGCCGATGCCGGTGGAACGACCTGAGCTCGGTGACTGCACCGAGGCGAAGGCAGACCACGCGCCAGCTGGAAGCCGAGCAGCAGGCCGGAAACGAACGTGCCGAGGATAAGGCCCGTCTGCTCTGTCGCGTTCGGGTTCTCGTGGAAGACCTCCTTCAGCTGGGTCGGCTCCACTGGTGGACAATCGCAGTGCACCACCGGCGCACAGGAATGGCAGGGTGGTGGAGCCTGAGCCCAGAGGAGAAGACTGTTAGAGAGCCCTCGGGCAAGCTCGGGAACTGCAGATTTGATGTACTGCATATGCGGGGCCTGCTTGAGCCTTGAGAATTACGGAACGTACGTGCATGTGCGGCCAGCTGTGACACTACTCGGCTTAAGTGGTGAACACATCCCTATATATATGTATACATATATACATACATATATATATATATACATATATATATATGTATATATATATATATATATATATATATATGTGTATGCATGCATGCATGCATGCATGCATGCATGCATGTATGTATGTGTGTATGTGTGTATGTGTGTATGTGTGTATGTGTGTGTATGTATGTATGCATGTATGTATGTATGTATGCATGCATGCATGCATGCATGTATTTATGTATGTACGTATGTATGTATGTTTGTATGTATGTATGTATGTATGTATGTATGTATGTATGTATGTATGTATGTATATGTGTACGCACGTATGTACGTACGTACGTACGTACGTACGTATGTATGTATGTTTGTATGTATGTATGTATGTATGTATGTATGTATGTATGTTGGTATATATTTATATATATGTATATATGTGTGTATGCATATCTGACCTCGGCCAGAAATGCATCCGTCGAGAACATGAGACCCTCCGCCGGCCAAAACGCACAGAGCACTCGAGGGTGCCCTCCCCCAGGATGCACAAGAACATCCAACATATACAAAAAACATTGGGGCACTCTCCCCGAACCGACCTCGATCTTGTACCTCGGTCCGCCGGCCCCCTTGTGGGGCCACCAGGCTGTAGGATCAGGATTTGCTGTTACCTGCGCCAGTTCCAGTTTCCAGTTTCCACTGTTACAGTATTGCTTTATGCTGCTTACTGTTCCTGGTTGTAGACCGCGCGAGGGGGGGGAGCCGAAAAGCACCCTGGTTAGCACCTCCCGGGAGGGGTCTCAGAATTTTTTTGGGTGTCGAAATTCACACTCCTCACGCAGATCGGCGGGGTCAGGGTCGAACAACCTATGGGATTTGCCACATTTCTGAAATTCGGAAGCACCCTCATGCAGATCGGCGGGGTCAGGGTCCAAAAACTCATGGGAGTTGCAACATTTCTGAGATTCGGAGGCACCCCTCACGCAGATCGGCGGTGTCCCAGTCCAAAAACCAATGGGATTTGCTACATTTCTAAAACTCGGTAATACCTCTCACCAGATCGGCGGGGTCAGGGTCGAAAAACCTATGGGATTTGCCACACTTCTGAAATTCGGCTGCACCCCTCATGCAGATCGGCGGGGTCAGGGTCCAAAAACATCCAAAAACTCATGGAATTTACCACATTTCTGAAATTCCGTGGCACCCCGCACGCAGATCGGCGGGGTCAGGGTGGAAAAACCAATAGGATTTGCCACATTTCTGAAATTCGGCGGCACCCCTCACGCAGATCGGCGGAGTCAGGGTCGAAAAACCTATGGGATTTGCCACATTTCTGAGATTCCGCGGCGCCCCTCATGCAGATCGGCGGGGTCAGGGTCGAAACAACCAATGAGATGTGCCACATTTCTTGAATTCGGCTGCACCCCTCACGCAGGTCGGCTGGGTCAGGGTCCACAAACTCATGGGATTTGAAACATTTCTGAAATTCGGCGGCACCCATCGCGCAGATTGGCGGTGTCAGGGTCGAAAAACCTATGGGATTTGCCACATTTCTGAAATTCCGCGGCACCCCTCACGCAGATCGGCGGGGTCAGAGTCCACAACATCATGGGATTTGCCACTTTTCTAAAATTCGGTAGCACCCCTCACGCAGATCGGCGGGGTCAGGGTCGAACAACCTATGGGATTTGTCACATTTCTGAAATGCTGCAGCACCTCTCAGGCAGATCGGCGGGGTCAGGGTCGAAAAACGTATGGGATTTGACACATTTCAGAAATTCGGCGGCACCCCTCACGCAGATCGGCAGGGTCAGGGTCGAACAACCAATGGGAGTTGCAACGTTTCTGAAATTCTGCTGCACCCCTCATGCAGATCGGCGGGGTCAGGGTCGAAAAACGCATGGGATTTGCCACATGTCCGAAATTATGTGGGAAACCTCAGTGCAACACTGAGTTCAGCAATATCATCATAAGCTCAATGTCTCTTGCCGATGCTGCTTCACGGCGGCGCTGAGGCCTCATGATTTAGCTCTTCCTTAGCCCATTATCCGAGAGGGGGCCGGCGCCAGGGGGCGACACCCTTACATATATATATATATATATATATATATATATGTATATATATATATATATATATATCTGTATATATACATACATACATACATACATACATACATACATACATACATACATACATACATACATATATACATACACACATACATACATACATAATACATACATACATACATATTTACATATATACATTTACACACAATTATACACATATACATATATACATTTACACGTATACAAACGTGTATATATACACACACGTGAACTTATGTGTATATCTATATATACACATTTATATACACATGTATATATACATGTATATATGTATACCTACCAACCTACCTACCTACCTACCTACCTACCTACCTACCTACCTACCTGCTTACCTACCTACTTACCTACCTATCTGCCTATCTACCTACCTACCTTAAATACGTACATACATAGACACATGCATGCGTACATACATATGATACATGTGCACTTTCCAGTCTGGGCCAGGAGAGCTTCTGCGCCGATCCTGGACGCAGATCTGGGCCTGGCCAAGACTGGGCGTCCAGGTCAACGGCAAAGGCAGGCGGCACCACCACCGTGGGCACGACGAACCAGCGGGGGCGATCTCCTGGTGCTGCGGCCGTTGACATCGTTCGGACGTCCATTCCCCATGCAATCTGTGGTTTCGTGAGTGCTAAGATGCGACACGATGGTCCTCGCCGAAACAAAAGTGCACACGTCCGAGCGGTGCCAAGCACCTCACTGCCCCGCCCGAGACGCATCCAGTCTCCAGCTCGGGGGGGTGTCGTGGACTTCCTCGCTGGAGGTGGCCCCGCTGGTGGTGGTGGTGCCGAATCTCCCAGGTCCCGACCCTTTCCCGAAGGCTGGGTTTTCAGCCCGCAGTTTTTTGTGGACGGTCCCAGGGCCTCGCGAGAGCCTCCTGGGGTCGAAAACGGTGAAAAAACGTTTGTTGTTTCAAGACGTTGGATGTCTGGGCCTCCTTCATCAACGGAGGCCTCCAAAGTGGGGTCAAAATAGATGAGGTCGGAGAATCGTGCCGCATCGCCAATGCATCGCCGACGTCGGCGATGTATCGGTGCCGTTGGGGTGGAGAAAATCGGGCTCCACATTGGGCCGAATCGCCGATGCATCGGCAATGCGGCGCGATCCTCCGACCCCATCTACTCGAATGCCACTTGGGAGGCCCGGCTTCCTCCAAACGGTTGGCGTCTCCACCACGACCAGCACCAGCGCCAGGCTCGCTTTCGGGAACATGCCTATGTTAAGGGGCTGCGTTGGCGCTGGCGCGCGGCGGACAGGGCGAACAGTCGCTATGGCGACTGGGAGTGCCGCGCCGAATGCTGGCGATCGAGCCGGGGCGGCAAGGGGAGGGCGGCGAGGCGAGCGGGGATCGAGGAGGCTCGAAGATCGCCCCAGAGATCCGACGACTTAGTGCCCAAAAGTCCCGACCGTTCCCCCAAGGCACGGGTTCTGTCGCGAGCCGTTTTTGAACGATCCCGGGGCCCAGCGAAGGCCCCCGAAACCGAAAACGGCGAAAAACCTCTGACTTGATTTTGCCAATACGCTGGATCTTTGCGGAAGATCGGGCCCCCCCCGAAGCCGCCTGGGAGGGAGGTCTTGGTCCAGATGGGCGGCCTGCAGGCGGCAGGGGAAGGAATGCAGGACGAGGAGAGGAGGGAGGGCACGAGCAAGCGCGCGGGAGGCAGAAGGGAAGCCGCAATGCCCTCCTCCTCTCCTCCTCGTCCTCGTCCTCGTCCTCGTCCTCGTCCTCGTATTCGTCCTCGTAATAGTTTGCCAATTGTTTGTTGATATGGGCTCTTTCTTGGCCGCGCTGATCGGCAAAATGTGATCATGTTCGTCTCGTGGTTGTTCTCCTTCAAGTTTATCTTGTGCATGGGTGATTTATCTCTAACTGCCGTGGCTATATGAGCGCAAAGATGCCCGTTGAATTTTGGCTGGCAATAGAAGTAATAGAGGGTCCGGCCGGCTGAGAGGGGGCGCCCGTGAGGGCGCGCGCGCGCGCGGCGGGCGGGGCGCTGTCTTTTCTCGAGCCAGCACGCAGCTTCAGTCGCATAGTTACGCGTCAGAAATGGGCACGGGGCGACGACAATATCAACTCCCCCCGCGGCCGGCCCGGCGAGCTCCACTCGCGCGGGCGGACGGGCCCGATTTGGGCTTGCGCCCCTAATTTTGGTATGAGACTCTTGACGCGCGGCGCCCAGCAGACAGCGCCCCCACTGTCTGGCTCGCAGGGCAAAAGACGCGGGTGCATAGCACCTTTGTGCCGCGTTGACCAATGCATCCCTTATGGAAGTATTTGAACCGCAAAAATCAATCTCGAAGAATACTATCGGCATAGCCGTGTCCCCCCTCGTTCTCTCCATCTCGCCTCCAACTGTGATCATCTGAGCCCCAGCTGTCATTGCACTAGCTGTCCGAGCTCCATGTCCACGATGACCATCAGTTCGCGGCACCTCCCTGCCACGGGGCGGAGGAGCCCGTAGTCTGCTGCCCCGTGTCGGCGCACGCGCGCCATGAGCGAGACGTCCTGTCCCCATCTGCCCTGCCCCGCGCTGAATCTGCCTCGGCGCGCCGCGGGGCACCCTGATGCCGAAAGTCACGGGCCGCGGGAAACCGCGCAACAGGCGTGGAACTCGAAGAAGCTGCCCCCGAATTGCGGGGCGTGCGCCACTGCGTCGGGTTCTCTGCTCGGCGCCGCCTGGACTCTTATTGATCATCTGGCGCTCGGCTGCTTGGCCTCTTCGATCCCTTGCCGCTGCTGTCGTTGTCCTTCCCCTTGCCCGCGACGTCGTCCGCCGTCCTCGCTGCCGTAGAGCGGCCCTCAGGCCGCGCGGAGTGCGGCCTCTTAGCGCCTTTGGCAGATGGCCCACGAGATGATGCAGCAGCTCCGACAGTCGGCTGGCGCGCCTGCACTCGTTGCGCGCGCCTTCAGCAAGGGGGCCCTGCGGAACTTTGCCTGTGGCCAGTAATCCGCAATCTCCGCCTCCATGGAAGCTTTCAGACTGGCGAGCGGTTCAATGTCTCTCGCTCCTGGAGCCGTCGCACACCGCGCGGACCATCCGTAGTTTGGTCCCGTTTTGTGGCGCTCAGCTGGATGGGTGTAGTCCCAGTCGAAGGGGTTCAGTATGGCACAGCCATCCTCACTCATCACCCTCCTGCTGATGTGAGGCCGCCACTCCATCGGGTGAATGGCTTCGGTGGGCACGCAGACGTTGTCACTAAGACACGTGCTGCCCCCCATGCCTCAAGCCTCCTGGAGGCGGCGGGGCCCTTTTTTGACGCGCTCTGGCCCCCGCCCTCCTGGCGCGCCGCCGTTTTCGGTAGGGGGCTGAGTCTTGGGGTAGGCATGGCCTGTCCGGTTATCGAAGCCCACCGAGATCTTGGCCAAGGCCTGGAGGACACGGCCCCTCCGGCCCGGTGGCCAGCAGCCGATGTACACTGCTGCCCAGGCCCGACGTCTGGTCCGTGGAGGCCTGCCCAGCCCCGGACCATCAGGAGAAGCTGGGAGGCCTCGCGCGGCGCGCAATAGGAGGAGGAGGAGGATAAGGAGGAGGAGGAGGAGGAGGACGACGAGGAGGCAGGGGAGGAGGAAAGGGAGTTGTATGCTCTGGCCCGCTCGCCCGCCCCATCAGATGTTATTCGGCGGCGAGCCTCGGGCGGGACGTGGTCCGCGTGCCGTCCTGAAGCCTGGTCGGCAAGAACCGGCGGCGCGACGCGCTGAGCAAACACTCCCGACCTACGGACCTGAGCACCACGTTGCTCCCATCCGACTGAAGGACCACATCCAAAGCACAATTTCGAGCACCCAGAAAAGTATCGAACCGGCGTCTGTCCGACACGCTAGCGAAGCGTCGAGCGAGTGCCGCCTCCCAGGGCCCGCCACGTGAAAACCCTCAAGTCTCGGTGCTCTCTTGGTGCTCGGAATTACTTCTGGTGGTCAAGGCCGCGCGCCAGGCCAGGGACAACCGCTCAAGGCGACTCTGGTGCCCGCGGACGGCCTCCTCACCTCGGGCCTCCCAAGGCCGTCGTCGCCGCCATCGACGCCGCCGCCGCCACAGTCGTTGCCGTTGCCGCGTTGCCGTTGTCGCCGTCGCCGTCCACTGCCGTTGCCTCCGTCGTGTTCGCCGTAGCCGCAATCGCCGCCGCCGTCGGCGCTGCCGCCCTCGCCGTCTCCCGCCGCCGCCGCCGTTGGGCTGGCCCGCCTCCCGCGCCGAGGCCCACCAAATACTGCGGCAGCGGCGGCGGGGAGCCCTGGGCCGGCCAGGCGTCCGCGAGGTCCTCGGGGGGCGACGACGACGGCGAAAGGAGGGCGGCGGCGGGCGGATGGCGGCGGGCGGGCGGCGGCGGACGCCGGAGGGCGCTGGCGGCGATGGCGGCGGCGGGCGGGCGGGGCGGACGGCAACGGCGGCAGGAGCGATGACGGCGGCGGCGGCGGCGGCGGATTGCGGCCGATGGCGCCGGCGGCGATGACGGCGGCGACGGCGGCGGCGGGCGGAGGCGGTGGGCGGCGACGGGCGGGGGCGCGGCAGCTGCGGACGGCCCGTCTTCCCTCCTCCGGAGCTGTTGTCTCGGAGAGGAGGTCGGGAGTTGAGGAAGAAAAGAAAGGGGTGGGACAAGCTAGGTGCGCTCGCGACATACCCCCGACCACCCATCCCTTCGCATGCCGCTGATTTTGATATGTCCACCAACGCGTGTCATCACGGACCTACAGGCTTGGACGTACTTCTTCTAACGCCGCACCATGGCACAAACAACACCCGAATGGCAAATGACAAGTTTTGCGCCAAACCCTGCCTCCTCATTTGCGCGCGGTGCCCAAACGCCCCATAAAACTCTGAACGGGCTTCCGCCTGCGGGCAGGGGGCCCCTGGGTGATCCACTCCTTCACGTAGAGTCTCATGAAGGAAACTGGCTGGACCCTGGCTTGGGCGATCCCACCTGGGACGTCCTCAGAATCTGCCTGGTTTGGCCCCAGGTTTGGCCCGTTTTGGCCGCGCGCCCCGCCTTAGACATGCCTGGCTTGGCCCCTCTTTTGGCCTGGTTTGGGCCAAGTTTCGCTTGAAACGTCCTCAGAATTTGCCTGGTATGGCTGTGGTTTGGCTTGGTTTGGGCCCAATTTCGCTTGAGACGGCCTCGAATTGTGTCTGGGTTCGACCTGGTTTGGCCTGGCGTGGACCCGGTTTCTTTTGTGACGTCCTCAAAAGTTGCGTTTGGCTCTGCTTTTGCACGCCGTTGGTCTAGATCCGCATGAAACGTCATAAAAATGTGGCTGCTTTCTCTCTCGTTTGGCATAGTTTCGGCCCCACGAAGCCTTCACGAAGCTCGCGGAGGGAATAATCAACGAATGTCTGTACGGTTGGGTAACATCCGTTATGGTCGCCATGCGGTCCGAACACACGATGGGATGTGGCACGTTTTCTTCGACACTGAGTGGTTAGTCGACACACGTCGTGGTGGGCGTGCAAAAACCGAAGAAACGGCACGGTGTCATGAATACCAATTGTTGTCCACATGTAATACGACTGAGCTATAACATGGCGGGCGGCGTGGGTGTGGACATTCCCAACGTGCTGTGGATTTGCGTGTGGCGTCGTTCGAAGAAAACGTTTTCCGATGCTGTAGAAAAAACTCAATCGGGATATGTGCAATCGGAAAAAGGGGAGGATGAGAAAAGGATGGAATAACGGGGCCAGACGGGGAGCCAGGAAAGAGCATCCAGGATGGACCAGGGGAAGGCCCTGGCGAGGGCGGGGAGAAACGCCGTCAGATGGACTGCTCGGCCTATCGGCGAGGGCAGCCGCCGTGGGCGCCCGAAAGGCCGCCCTGGAGGCCTGCAATGGAGGCCGCCTCACAGCTCCAGGCGGCCCGGCGCGCCCCCCGGCTGGCCCGCGGGCGCCTGGACAGTCCCGCGCGGAGCGCGAGCCCGCGGCGGCGGCCGGCGGCTCGCGGAGAAGCGGGCGCGGGCGGCGATGAGCACGGCGGCGACCACCTAGGCTTGGGGAGGGGGAGGAGGAGGAGGAGGAGGAGGAGGAGGAGGAGGAGGAGGAGGAGGAGGAGGAGGAGGAAGACGAGGAAGGGGAGGAGGGGGAGGAGGACAAGCTAGGTGCGCTCGTGTCATATCTGACGTCCTGCCCCTCCCTCCCATCCCTTACAATGGCGTAGATCTCCTCTCTATTCGCACAATCGGACGTCGCAACATGACATAGCATTGCACGGCATAGCATGGTGTTGAAGATCAACGCGTAGCGGGGGGGGCTTCCGCGGCCTAGAAAATCAAAGAATCGACACCGAATGTGGAATCACTTCCAATGTTTTTTTTCTCGGGAGGCCATTTCTAGATTTTGGAACATGTTTGGAAGGATCGAAAACCATGCCGTTGCATGGCACTGGAAATTCGCCGGCCCAACGGGCCAGAGGCGTGCTAAGATCTCCGGTAACTGGTTAACAATTCTCTAGTTCGCGCGCGCGGGGCGGCCCCTGGGGGTCCACGGACGAAAAGTACCCCGGCAAGGTCCTGAGAGAGTCCCGGGAGGAGTCCCCCAGAGCGCTCCAGGAGCGCTCCATGAGCGCACCAACAGGGCTCCGAGACGTCCCCGAGAGCCCCAAGAAAGGCCAAGAGGCCCCCAAGAGGCCCCCAAGATGGTACACGAGGGGTCCGACATGCCACAAGATCGCTCCAAGACGCCCAAGATAGCCCCCAGACGCCCCAAGAGGCCTCCAAGAGCACTCCCAAGAGGGCCCCCGGAGGCAAAATTCATTGTTTTTCCTTAGGTTTTTGAGAGATTTTGGAGCTTCCACCTTTTCGGTTCCCGACGCCCCAAGACGGCCCCAGAGGCCCCCAAGATCGCCCCAAGAGGGCCCAAGAGGCCCCCAAGAGGGCCCCAAGATGGCCCAAGAGGGCTCGAAGACGGCCCAAGAAGCCTCCAAGACGGTCCAAGAGGGCCCCAAGAACACCCCCAGAGGGGCCCCAGAGAGGGAACACGAAACAAAATTTCGAGCCCTCGGCCCTAAGAAGCCCCTACGAGGCCCCAAGAGGCCCCTAAGAGGCCCCAAAAGGCCCCCACGAGGCCCTCAGGAGGCCCCCAAGAGTCCCCCAAGCGGCCCCAGGAGGCCCCCCAAATGCCCCCCCGAGCGCCCCAGGAGTCCCCCAAGCGGCCCCAGGAACCCCCAAAGCGCCGCATTGACACCAGGCCCTCGGGCAAACGGCAAACATGAGACCGTATGGGCCGGCGGAATGAGCGAAGCGATTAAATAATCATGCCAACGCTGCAACGGAAGCACGATTCGGGACGAGCGGAAGCGCGGAAATGAGGCCAGCACTGCAGCGGGAGCACGATTCGGAACGAGCGGAAGCGCGGCAATGAGGCCGCCGCTGCAGCGGCAGCGTGGTAGTCGTAGCACTGCAAATAGAAATCGGCGAAATAATAATGATATGCAGAATGGGGGAAAACGAACAATAACACCATTAGTACGAATCGTTGCAGTGGCAATGGCAACGACAATTGGCTAGGGACGGACCCAGCCCGTTTTACACACATCTTTAATCAGGAACTCCCAACTCCAAAATATTGCGTGGGCATATGTGGGGTCCCAGTTGTGGCTGCAGGCTCCCTCCTGGCCAGTGGCGCAGTTTGCAATCCGCAGGGAGACGAAGTCCAATTCTGATGTGCGAAAGACGCCATCATGCCGGACTTCCCAGGGGCCCAAGAAAGCGGCGACACTGCGCAGCTCGTGGGCCCGCAGGGAGGGCGAGGTCGGTTGTTGACGTGCGTGAAGCACCACGCCGCGGACCTCCCAGGGGCCACGAAAACGGCGGCCGTTGCGCACTCCGCAGCCCGCCAAGGGCGACGAGGTCTAGCCCTGGTGCGCGTAGGACACCACTCCGGTGGGCCTCACAGGGTTCCACGAAAGCGGCGACACTTGCACAGTTCGCACCCCCCGCTGAGGGGATAGAGAGGTCCAGTCCTGATGTGGGTGAGACACCACTTCGCTGGACCCCCAGAGCCTACGAACGAACAAACGACGGCTGCGCAGTTCACAGGTCCGTAGCGAAGGCGAACTCGAGCCTTAACTAATGTGCGTAATACACCACTGCGCTGGGCCCCATGTGCCCACGAACGAGCGATTGTTGCGCCATTGGCAAGTCCGCGGGAACGCGAGGTCTAGTCTTGGTGTGCGCAGGACACCATTCCACTGGACTTCCCTGGAGTCCGCGATAACGGCGACATGTGCGCAGTTCGCGGTTGATGTGCATAAGACACCGTTCCGATAGACTTCCCAGAGCCCACGGAAGCTGCGATGCTTGCGCACTCCGCAGCCCCGCAGCGAATGCGACAACAAATTCTGATGTGCGTAAGACGCCACTCCGATGGACATCCCAAATGCTCACGACTGCGGCGGCTGTTTCGAGCGCCGGCCACTTCCGGGAAGGAGGAGGCAGGGCGGATGAGGGAGAAGGAAAGATGAAAGAGCAGGACGAAATATGGTGATGCTGCTGATGATGATGAGGATGATGAGAATGGTGGTGATGACGATGATGATGGTGATGCTGGTGGTGGTGATGATCATGATCATGATGATGACGACGGTGGTGGTGATGATGATGTCAATGAGAAAGAAGACGACGACGAAGAGAAGGTGGAGAAGGATAGAGGAGAGGTGAGGTGACGGAGAGCGCGGTGCCCTAATTCAAAGCGAGAACCCAACGCAGGAATATTGGGCATGCACCAGTGGGACAGCGGCAGGGGGACAAGACGAGGAGGAGAAAGGGGGCGGGAAGGAGTGGGGCAATCAACGTCCCCTTCCCTATTCGTGCCGAGGACCCAACCACAAGGAGCGTTAGGTATGTTAGTAGTCGTAAACTAAAAGGAGGACTGGGAAGGAGGACGCTGGAAGACGTGACAGGAGGGCGAAGCCTAAAAAGGATGCGCTGGGGGTTCGCTCGGGCAGTCGAACCGACGGGGCGAGCCACCGCCTGACCGCGGGGGCCCTGCGCAGAGCGGTCGCGCGCGGCGCAGGTCCTCACCGTGCCGTTGGGGAGCACAATGGAGAGGCCGAGCGAGAAATTCGGCACTGTTGAACCACCTCGCGCCACCGCGGGGGACTCCGCGCAGCGACCCCGAACGTTCCCCTGCCAATGGCGGCCCATGTCTACCAGCGGCCCCGTAGGGATCGCCGCTTGGCTCGGCTTCGTCCGCAGCCTCGCGGCGGCGGCTCCTGCTGCGTAGGCGGCCGCGTCGGCGCACGAAGACCTGGGTTCTAGACTCGGGCTCGACCGCCCAAGCCGCCACGGTGCACTACGTCGCCACCCACAGGTTGGGGCCTATTTGCGCGGCCCCCCACTGCGCCATGTAGAACGTGGGCCTTGCCGAAGGGCTCCGCCAGCGTTCCGCTGATGCTCACCTGCTCCATGGGCCTCGCTAGCGGAGTGCCCTGGTGCCCCACGTGGAACTCACCCAGTCGAAGGAGCCGCTGAACACTCCCCCGAAGCGCTGCGCCTTGGCCGTCTGCAGCTCCACCCTGGCATCCTGCAGCTCCATCTCGACCATCTCGATGCAGAGGCCGCCGAGAGAGGTGAGCTTCTTCCGAAACCGAACGGACCGCGGGGTCCACGTGAGCCTCGCCCGCCGTCCAGCCGCGCCACGCCGCCCGACGCCGTTGGCCCGCCAGCGGGAAAGAAAATCATGACCTCCGCCACGGCCATCCTTGACATGCGCGACCATCGGCACTGCATTCTTTGCCCTGGCCGCCGCCGGGCGTCGCAGAGCGGCGCGGACCGCATCAGCAGCGGCCGCTTGCAAAGTGGGCGGGCGGCACAAAAGCCAATGCCGCGCTGCGCAGCTTCTCGCCGATCGCGTGGGGAGCGGGGGGCCGCTCGTCATCCGCGACCTCGTGCTCGACACGGAAGGCGCTGAAGAGCACGTCAACCTGTTCCGCCTGCGGGACGAACACCCGCGAATCGGTCTTCAGAACCGAACGCACGTTCGGCACCTCCTCCACTGGCTCGCAGGGGATGACTGGCGCTGCACTCGGAGACGAAAGCAACTACAATCGGCGAAGACGCGCTTCGCATGCGTCGCGCCTCCGCCTCCGCGCCAACAGGCAGCGGTCGCGCGATGTCAACCTCACGCGAGGGTATGAGCCACCACGCCTTCGGGCAGCCTCCCTGTGCCTTGATGTTCGCCCCGAATCAGTCACCGCCACCCGCCACCAAGGAGGCTGCACGCATCGGGTCCCAGTTCGCGTCGCGAAGGCTCGGGGTTGGTCGAAGGCGCCGCAACGGCGCGTTGAACCGAAATGGGACTTGGGGGAGGATTCGGGAGGGAGGAGGTGGTGTCGGCAGGAGGAGGAGGAGGAGGAGGAGGAGGAGGAGGAGGAGGAGGTGGGACATGAGGCGGAGGAGGAGGGGAGGAGCAGGAGGAGAAGGAGGAGGAAGAGGAGGAATAGGAGGAGGAGGAGGAGGAGGAGGAGGAGGAGGAGGAGGAGGAGGAGGAGGAGGAGGAGGAGGAGGAGGATGAGGATGAGGAGGAGAAGGAGGAGGAGGATGGAGGAGGAGGAGGAGGAGGAGGAGGGCTCGGTAATTGAGGCCCCTCTACGTAACTGAGCCTCAGTGACAGAGAGTCTCAGGCCCGGGAGGAGCTGAGGAGCGTCTTGCCCCACAAGCCACCAGGTGCAAGCCCAAGGCGTGGACCCGCACGTCCAGCAACAGCCGCTCCAGCAGCGCCCGCGGCGCCGGGACGCGGAGCAGCAGGCCGTGCAGGCCAAGCAGCGGGAGCACCAGCGCGACCTGCTGCGGCGCGGCTGGCGTCTCGCGAGAGCCCTTTTTGCTGCGCTCCGTGGCGCGCCTCCTCCTCCTCCTCCTCCTCGTTTTCCAGTTTTCCAGTTTCATCCTAGGTCTCATGCAAGCACAAGCCCAGGTTCAAGGCCGAAACAAAACGCTACAGGGAGGAAAGAGGCTGGGGCGGCCCGAGGCGAAGGGCCGATCCAGGAAGCTCCCCCTTCCGTAGCTCGCGCAGCTCTCCGAGCTTTTTCGCAGGCCTGCACGGCCCCCCAAGCCGCAGGCCCACCTTCGTGGAAGCAAACCCTTCGCATTTGTTGCGGCAAATTACGGGCATCTCGGGTCCCTCCTCCTCCTCCTCCTCCTCCTCCTCCTCCTCCTCCTCCTCCTCGGCCTCCTCGGCCTCCTCGGCCTCCTCGGCCTCCTCCTCCTCCTCCTCCTCCTCCTCCTCCTCCTCCTCCTCTTCCTCCGCTTCCTCTCTCCTTCTCTTCCTCCGCTTCCAGCTTCTCCTCCTCCTCGTCCTCCTTCACCTCATCCTCCCTCCCTGCTCCTCCTCCCTGCTCCTCCCCCTTCTCCTTCTCCTTCTCCTCCTCCTCCTCCTCCTGCTCCTCCTCGAGCGTAGCCCAAGAGTCCTGGTGCAGCTCCCTCAGCCGCGGCGCGAGGTAGGTCTCGCTACCTGCGCTCTGACACACCTGCAGATCCCTCGCAGCTTCGCGGGGGCAACTGGGGGTGTGTGCTTGCTGCATTCGTGATGAAGATAGAAGGCAACGATCGAGGGGAGAAGAGACTCACGAGAGGGGGCAAGGAGACCGAGGCGAGCGATGGGACAGACAGGCAGAGCACGGGCCGAAATACACGTGATGAGACGGATAAAGTGAGGACAACTCCAGAGGTGCCTGAAGTTGCACGGGCTGATGCACCCAAAGTAACATTGCGAGACTTCCTGAAACGCAGAGGGGGTCACCCAGCCGCCGCTGCTCCTCCTCCTCCCCTTCCTCCTCCTCCTCCTCCTCTTCTTCCTCCTCCTCCTCCTCCTCCTCCTCCTCCTCCTCCTCGTCCTCCTCCTCCCCCTCATCATCATCACCATCACCACCCTCACCACCCCCACCCCCACCCCCACCCCCACCACCACCACCACCACCACCACCCAAGCCATCATCATCATCATCATCATCATCATCATCATCATCATCATCATCATCATCATCATCATCATCAGCATCATCATCATCATCAGCATCATCATCATCATCACCATCACCATCACCATCAGCATCATCAGCATCATCATCATCAGCATCATCATCATCATCGTCATCATCATCATCATCATCGTCATCATCATCATCATCATCACCGTCGTCGTCATCAGCATCATCACCAGCAGCAGCAACACCATCATCGTCATCGTCATCAACATCGGCATCGTCAACATCACCATCATCAGCATCATCAGCAGCAGCATAATCATCGTCATCATCGGCATCATCATTACCATCGGCATCAGCATCATCAGCAGCAGCATCAACAGCATCAGCATCCTTATCACATTATCCGAATCAGCATCACCAGCATCATCATCATCATCATCACCATCATCATCATCACCATCATCGGCATCGTCAACATCACCATCATCATGATGATCATCATCATCATCATCATCATCATCATCATCATCATCATCATTATTGTCATCACCATCGTCATCCTCATCACAATCAGCATCAGCATCATCGTCGTCATCAGCATCATCGTCATAGTCATCATCATCAGCAGGATCAGCATCAGTATCATCGTTGTCCTCATCATCATGTTAATTATCAGCATTATCATCAGCATGCTTGTTACCATCATCACGAGCAGCATCAGCATCACCACCATCATCATCATGAACATCAGACCCACCAACGCCATCACCATCCGCGTCATGACTATCATCAACATCAACAGCATCGTCATCAGCATCATCATCAACAGCACCATCAGCATCGTCATCACCACAATCACCATCATAATCATCATCATCATCATCATCACCATCATCATCATCATCGTCATCATCATCACATTCATCAACAGGATGAGCAACATCATGATCATCATCAGCACCTTCGTCACCACCACCAGCATCATTGTCAGCATCATCAACAACATCATAATCATGTTTGTTTTCCTCCTCCACCTCCTCTCCCCCCGTTTCTCTTCCTCCTCCTCTTCCTTCTCCTCCTTCTCTTCTTCCTTATCCTCCTCCTCCTGTCCGTCCTCTCCCTCTCCTCCCTCCTCGTCCTCTTGTCTCCCTCATCCTGTTGCTATTTCCCCGATCCGTGCTTCGAAGCGGGTCGAGAGCGCGCCCCGTCTCCGTCGTCGGCGTCGGCGTCGGCCTCGACCACGACGTCAACATCGTCGTCGGCGTCGTGCGTGTTCGTGGTGCATGGTGTTCTGCTCTTCCCTCCACCTCAGAAGAACAACACGAGGTAAAACGCTCGGCTGTCCACGCATATTTCTTTGATCGCGCCAGAGAGGTCCAGCGCCGATCCAAAACATCCGCGCGCACCTGCAAAACATTATGCGTACGCAGTGGTCCTCATATCCTAAGATGTGGCTATTGTATCACTCAGACGCCTCCGACTCACACCTCCAATCTCCGTCTCCCCACACTCCTCCTCTTCCTCACCCAGACTCAATCATACTTAGACACACTCGTACGCGGACTCAGTCCTACTTAGACTCACTCACACTCAGGCTCACTCATAGACAGACTCACTCACTCTCAGGCTCACTCGCACTCATAATCAGGTTGCTCACACTCGGACTCGCTCACACTCAGACTCACTCACAAAGTTGTGGGGATGTCTCAAGCGGCTTGCCTGTTTGGTTGCTTGGAATTTGCCGCTTTCGCAACTGATTGTGATGATGTCTTGAGCGAGGCGCTGGTTTCAACTCCCCAGGGAGGGGCCGCCAAGGGGTATTGCACGGGACCGATCGCGGCCAGATTGTTAGGATGTCTCGGGCGGTTTGCCTGTTTGGTTGCCTGGGCTTCCCCACTTTCACACAGATTGTGAGGATGTTTCCAGTGAGGCACTGGCTTCAGCACCCATAAGGGGGGCCGCCAGGTGGCTTTGCACAGGACCTTTCGCGGCCAGATTGTGAGGATGCTGGTTGCTCGGACCTCGGCACTTTCACAAGCAGGTTGCGAGGATGTCTCCAGCGAGGCGCTGGTTTCAGCACCCCAAAGGGGGGCCCGCCAGGGGGTAGTGCACGGGCCCGTTCGCGGCCAGTTTGAGGGGATGCATCGAGTGGCTTGCGGGTTTGGTGGCTTGGACGTCTCCGATTTTCGATCAGATTGAGAAGATGTATCGAGCGAGGCGCTGGCTTCAGCACCCCAAAGGGGAACTGCCAGAGGTTAGGACACTCAACCGTTCGCGCTCAGACTGCGATGATGCCTCATGTGGTCTGCCTCTAGAGCCCAGATTCCTTTGCTTCATGTGTGAGCGCAAAATGGTGCTGTGCGGGTGCCAGAGCAGATCGTAAGGATGTCCCGAGCGAGGCGCCGGGAGGACGAGGAGGAGGAGGAGGAGGAATCGGAGGCAGAGGAGGGGGTTCTCGTCCTCCTCTTTCCCTTCTTCCTCAACAATTACACAATATGAAAATACTCTCCCACTTCCCCCGATGGCGTCCCGAAGATATCCGCCCCCCCCCCCGCGTACTGTTTTTTACACACCGGATTCACGGGAAACGGGTTTTCGCCTGCGTTTTTTTTCAAAATGCTGCTCTCGCTGAGGCGCCGGCCTCATTTCTGCTCCCGAATCGTTCCGAATCGTGCTCCCGCTGCAGCGTGGGCCTCATTTTCGGATCGGTGTTTGGCCTCCGTCGTTCAGGATGGCGTTCTCGCCCCAGCGCGGGCCTCTTTCTCGCGCGCCCATCCGCCCGCCACCACCGCGCCGCACCGCCACCACCACCACCACCACCACCACCACCACCACCACCACCACCACCACCACCCACACCAGCACCACACCAGCACCAGCACCAGCACCAGCACCACACCACACCACCACCACAACCACGCACACACGCACGCACGCACGCACGCGCACCACCACCCACTACGCACGCGCGCGCGGAGCCACAGGTCCGCTACGACACGCGTCCGCGGATAGAGAAAATCAGCGCCATGGTAAGGGATGGGAGGGAGGGGTAGGACGTCAGATATGACGCGAGCGCACCTAGATTGTCCCCCTCCCCCTCTCCCTCATCCTCGTCTCCTCCTCATCACTCCTTCTCGTCCTGCTCCCCTCGTCCTTCATTCCTCACCACTCCTCTCCTTCCCCTCGTGTTCCCTCCTCTCCCTCTCGCCCTTACTCCTGAGGCAGATCGTGGGGATGCCCCGAGCGAGGCGCTGGCTTCAGCATCCAAAAGGTGTGGGCGGCTGTCAGTGCTTACAGACAAACGCTCTAGGCGAGACGTGCCAGGAAAATGAGATACCCATATGGGACGCACAAAGACATACTCATACTACATGTCCTCCTTGGAGGCGCGCGTCCGACCCGAACATATAGTATACCCATCTTGTAGTATATCGTTTCCCGAACGGTGTGGCCAGAAAGCGGCCACCACGACGCATATACTGTAAGATTTCTCGGTGCGCGCGTCGCCCCTGGGGGGGACGACGCACATACAATATAAATATGTTGGGGTGACGTCGAACATACGGGGATCTCCGCGTCGAGTAATTTTTCTTCGGCTCGAGCGGATCCATTCATCCCTCCGGCTGGACAAAATCGAGCAACATCGAACTGGGACATCGGATCGGAAAGGCACTGGATCGAGCCGCATCGGCACAAGTCGGAATCGAATGGGGTCAGCCGCGTCAGGATGCACAACAACGCCGTGCGAACATCAAATCGCATCGGATGGTCGGCACATCGGAATCGAATCGGATCGGGCCAGCCGGAATCGGCATCGAATCGGATCGATCGGATCAAAATGTGCCCTGGCTGGGTGCTGAGAAGGCTGGAGTGCCTGCCAACAGGCGGGGCGACCGCTTGGATCGGAGCGGGCGAAGAGGGGAACACTCTCAGAACATAGGAGAGGATGCGCGATAATGAGCGTTTCGAGCGGGGCTGGCCATCGAGAGTGGCCAAGGATGGACCGAGGAGGCACGGATACAATGGCACCCTTGGGAAAATGACCCATCCTTACTCTCGATCTCTCTCGACTGTAACAGAGGGGCAACTGGCTTCTCTGGCGCCTCACGGCACCTGGAGGCGCCCATGTGCCGGGAAAGGCGCCCATGTGCCGGGAGAGGCGCCTGGCGGCGTGGCCCGCTCCGTCCGACCCGCTCCTGGAAGGCTTCGATTGCCATCGCCCCCTTCTGCGCACCGCCGAAGGTTGGCGGCGCATTGCGCACAGGGGGGCAGAGGGAGGGAAAGCTTCTTGGAAGGAGGCTGCTTCTTAGAAGGCGCCAGCCTCCCCCTCCCCCTTCCTCCTGCCCCCTTCTGCGCACCGCCGACAGACCGGCGCGGTGGTGGTGGCCGGGTCCACCTCGCGGGACTTGTGGTAGTGCGCCCTGGCCAGGTGCACGTCCTGCGGCACGCCGAGGCCGAACTGGTGCATGAATGCAAGGTTGAAATACCCCCTCGCAACGAAGGACTGCATCCACAGGCCGGTCACGGTCGTCTCTGCCGTCCTCCTGTATCTTGCCAGCGAGGCCTCGTAGTCCACCGCCTGGGGCCTGATCTTCACCTCTCGGGCGGGTGTTGAGGATGGGTGACCTAAGTGGGGGGTGAAGCCCTTTAGGGCTCTTTTCTTCACCCCCCCACTTAGGTCACCCTCCCTGAACACCCGCCCGAACCTCGGGAGAAGGCGACGGCTCACTATTGCCGGCACCGTCGTCGGCATCGTCCTCGCCGTCCTGGAACGACGCGGACATCCCCCAGCCGTAGAATGCGTAATCTCCGAGGCGCAGCTCCGATGACGGGCTGCCCTGCTCCGCAGACATCTCATAATAACGCTGCGCCAAGATCCTGCCATGCTGCCGTGTCGCTTCCGCCGTGCTGGCATCTTCTGTCGGTGCATCGCCTGGGAAGAGTAAAGAAGACTGGCCAACATCGAACATGTGCGCTACGTTCATCTGGGCCACTTCGTGCCCTGTCTCGGCGAGTTTCAGGTAGAGCAGGGCCGCCCTGTCTGGACTCTTCTCGCTCAGCGCGGTGGCATCTGCAAGCTTGTCAGCGACCCACGAGCCTCGCTCGCAAACGGTCCTGAGCAGCTTCGCGGCAATGTCGCAATTCACTGGTGCGCCGATACCGTTGAGGTACATGATCGCCAAGGAGTAAGCAGCGGGCGTATGTCCGCGGTCCAGTGCCTGAGTGTAATGGAGCACGGCTCTCTGGAAACTCTGCGTGGTGCCTGTGCCAGTCAGGTACATGCTCGCCAAGTTGAACATGCCATCGCTGGACCCCTTGTCGGCGGACTCGTTGAAGTGGCGGAAGGCGAGCTTGTAATTTCGCGCGTGCACGCTCGTGCCCCTGAAATAAAGATAGCCGAGGCCGTTGTGCCCCAACTCGTCCCCACGAAGCGACGCTGAGAGGAAGTATCCATAAGCAGTGTCCAGATTCTGCGGGATGCCCAGGCCGAGGCAATACATGTAACCCAGGAGGCCCTGAGCTGCTGGATGGTCGGCGGTGGCCGCCATGGTCAGGTACTGCCGCGCCTTGTCATAGTCCTGCCTGAAGCCCTCAATGCCGAGAAGCCAGCGCTTCCCTATGGCGTAAGCGACGGCAACGTCTCCGCTCGCCGCCATCTGAATGAAGAGCTGCATCTCGGCGGAGCTGACGACCTTGCGCTCCTCCTGGCGGACATTTATGCGAACGAGCTCCACGGCCTGGGGCATGCCGGCGCTGTAGATATTGACGACCCTCATCGCTACGTCGATATGGCTAGAGCCCAGGAGCATGTCCACTAATTACGCTTCCCCCTTTTCCCTCCCCCTTCTGAGGGGCAACGATAGGGAGGGGACTGGCTTACCAAGGGCTCCCAACTTCGCGCTTCGCGCTGCGCGAAGCGCGAATAACTTCGCGCTCTCGCGCCGCCCTCCCAAAGGGAGAATAGGAGGACGAGGAGGAGGGGGAGAAGGAACGAGGACCGCGAAGCGCGAAGCGCGAATAACTTCGCGCCCTCGGGGGAGCCCTTGACTAATTACGCAGCGCGAATAACTTCGCGCCCTCGAGGGCGCTCTTGTTTTCCCTCCCCCTTCTGAGGGGCAACGATAGGGAGGGGACTGGCTTACGGGGGGGAAACATCAAGCTGGAATCGGCGACGCACCGCCGATAGACCGGCGATGGGCTCCCGACAGCAGAGCCCAAATTTCCTGGGCGGGGTAGGATATCGGGGGCCCCATCGGCGAGGAGTTGGCGATGGGGGTCCACGAGTTCTCTGCATTGAGGCCCGCGGCCCAGATTTCCACCTCTGGGCGCTTCTACGCGCTCCCGGGATTCCCCGCGTGACTGTTCTGGAGTCCGAGAGGGCCCAGGATACCTCCGAGACCGCTCCAAGATGGCCCCAAGACGGCCGAAGAGGCCCTCCAAGAAGCTCCAAGAGGGCCCCGACAGGCCCCAGAGGAGGAGCACGAACCGGTAGTTCGAGCCCCTCGCCTCAAGATGGCCCCCGAGACCGCGAGCAGGCCCCGAAGAGGCCCCCCACAAGCTCCTGGAGGCCCCCACGAGGCTCAAATCAGGCCCCAAGATGCCCCCAAGAGACCCCGAGAGGCCCCCAACACACACCACAAAACCGAATCCAACAGGCTTCCGAGAGGCCTCCCAAGAGATCCCAACAGGCATCCCAGAGGCATCTGACAGGCATGGTGGCGGGATGGGCCGAAGGCCATTAGCATGTATCCGCCGCCCCCTGTGGTCTTGCCACAGGGGTACACTGAACGCCACATGTTAGGTAAGTGTTGGCCCTTTCGCAATCATTTCTAGGGGCTTTCGGCCCAACCCGCCGGCCACCCGCAAAGGCGCGCAAAGACGCGAGAGGACGCGCACGGGTTGGAGGCCTGGAAATTGGCACCAACACCAGCACAGGGGGGTGCCTCCAGGGGGAAGATGATCCTAGATTGCGGTGTTGGTGGTAATAGTTCGGCCAACTTGGAAGCCAGAATATTACCACCATCACCGAGATCGGGATCTTCTTCCCTCGGTGGAGGCACACCGCCGATCTTGGTGTTGGTGTCAACCTCTAGGCCTGCGCACGGGGGGGAAACACCCGATGACTCGCCTCCACGAAGGCCCGTAAACTTCCCAAGTCGTCGGTCTTCCCGCTCCAGTCGGCCCGAGCAGGGCCTCCCAGACGGCCGCGATGGCCCCGAGAGGGCCCAAAATGGGCCCAAGATGTCTCCAAGACGGGCCGAGACGCCTTCAAGATGGCATCAAGATCGCCCAAGAGGCACCCAAGAGGCTTCCAGGAGGACCTCCAGGAAGCCTCGAAGAAACCAATAACATTGATTTCCTGAAATGTTGTTGGGTTTGGGCGTTTGCTCATCTTCGGCTTTCCAGTGGCCCAAGACGGCCCCAGAGGCCACTAAGATGGCTCCAAGAGCGCCCAAGAGGCCTCCGAGATGCCGCCCTGACGGCCCAAGAGCGCCCCAAGACAGCCCCAAGAGAACCTCAAGACGGCCCAGGAAACCAAAGTTTACCCAAAATGGCTCCAAGACACGGGCCAGGAACGCCCTCAGACGGCCAAGTGGCCTCCCAGGGAGCCTCCTGAAGGCTCCCAAGAGGCCTCCAGGAAACACCCAGGAGGCCCCGAGAGTGCCGCAAGAGGCTCCGTTTCTTTTTCCTCCCCCACGTGTTCCCCGAAGGGTTTCCACAAGGGCTGGGGGAACACGTAGTCCGATAGCCGATAGTTTAGCCGAGCTCTGGCCGCAACGTTCGGCCTCATAGGCGCTTCCGAAAGGCAGGGGCCGGCTGTGATTCGCCGTAGGCGTCTTCTATACATGTATATGTATGTACGTGTGTATATAGTCATATGAATATACATATATAGACACGTATATATAAACACATGTCTACCTATACGTAGGTATACATATGTGGGGGGAAGACGACACTGGTCACATACGATCCTTCTCATCCCTTCTCTCATTCTACATATTCCCACATCCTCCCTTTTCCCCGCTCATCGCTTCATGTTCCTCCTCCTCCTCCTCCTCCTCCTGCCCCTCCTCCTCCACCGCCTATTTCTGTTCCTCCTCCTCCTCTTCCTCCTCCGCCTCCTCCTCATCTTCCTCCACCTCCTCATCTTTCCTCTTCTCCTCCTCCTCCTCGTCTGCCTCCTCCTTCTCCTCCTTCTCCTCAATATCCTCCTCCTCCTCCTCCTCCTCCTCCTGCATCTCATCCTCCCCCTTTTCCTCCTCCTCCTCCTCCCCCTCCTCCAAGGCGGCAGGCGCCGTGGCATGCCTTGCGTGTCCGATAGCGAACCTGCCCCCAGGCCCCCGCCCGCCCAGGCGCGAGGTCGTTCTTCCACTGCACCCACGCCCCGATATCGCTCTCCTGCCTGGCACCGCCGCGACCGCAGGCGGCGTGCCAATGCCAGGTTCTTCTTGCGCGGTCAGCTGGCGAGGGAGCGGCTCGACAAGCATCACGGCTCTCAAGCTCCCATGCGAGGCGCAGGCGCCGGCGGCGATCATGACCGCGGCGCCAGCACACAAGGGAGGAGGAGCCAGCCCCAGAAGGAGCCACGATGGGCATGCGCGGCGACACGCCAGTGCGGCTTCCAAGGCAACTACGCCAGTAATGAGAATTGTTACCAGTGCGGCCGCTCTCGTCGTGGGGTTCCTGATCCCACTTTTCTTCCTCGACAGCGGCAGCCATCAAACTCATGGCCACGGCGAGCTTATCGCCCCAGGTCGGGAGGGGACTCATCCAAGCAGGACAAGGACGCCGGCGTGGACAAGCCAGCCGACGCCGTCGCACAAGCACGTCGTGCTCTCCAGGCTCTGCGGAAGCTCGGATTGCAAGAAGATAGTGCAGTCATTCAGCAGGCTCGTCGGGATTTGCAGAATGCCGAAGAGAAAGAGCAGCAGACTCGGACTCCAGACGACATGCTACGTCGGTCGCTCGACCGCCACACGGCGAATACCAGGGAGGTGGAGAAGCTGCGCAAGGCTGTCAAAGTGCTGGAGGACGACCTTCAGACCAAAAGGGCAGCGCTCGCGACCGCCTCCACAGAGTTGCAGAACATTCAGGCCGAAGTCAACATGGCGAGGACCGCAGCGTTGGCATCCACGGCCTCCTCAGCAGCACCGACGAGCGAGACACCTTCGTTGCAGGACGCAATCGGTCGCCCCCAGACGGTTGTGGCGGGCGCGCCCGCGGCCATCACGGCAGGCGATCCGCAGGTTATGCTAGACTCGCTCACGCAACAGCTCAGCCACTTGCAGGGTCTGGTGCAGCAGCAGCCTGGGCGCGCACCTCAGGCGGAGTCGGCGGCACCTACGGCAGCGCCGCAAACACCTGCGACACCAGTTATTACTGCCGTTGCCGCTGCAGGCGCAATGGCCCCAAGTACTCCAGCGCATCCTTGGCAGCAGCACTTCGACGAGCAGGAGGCTCGCGATGCGGCCGTGCAGCAGGACGCGCATGTGCAGCGTCTGGTGCGTTGTCTTCTTTGATATGCCGCGACTGTTCCAAGGGGAAGTGTGGTCGCTAGATGACCTGCCCCTTCGTGAATTGGTAGCTCCTCAAAATCCTGGGCGTGGTTCAGGTGCTGTCGCCCATGCTCCGAGGACGCGGAGAATCCCGTCAGGAAGATTACAGTTCTCGGCTCGCCCTGGTGCCCGTCGTGCGCCTCGACGTTCCAAGAGGAAGCCGTTCACTTTCATAACTTACAATGCCAATGGGTGGTGCAGGCTACGCGATTTCTTACAGGATGGCGCGGCTGGTGCTCTCATTGTTGCGCCCCAGGAGGTGCGAGTTCGAGCCGACCAAGAGACGGCAGGGCGAAGAATGGTGTCATCGCAATGGGTGGAAAGCTTTCATCACTGACTGTTTGACGGGACCCACTGGTAAGCCGATGGCTGGCGTAGGCCTCTTCGTTCGACAACATATTGGGACCATCTACCTGGGCGCGTTGCCTGGAGTAGTTGATCATGTGCTCATCAAGTCGTGGTGCGTGGCAGTCTCCATTCACGCAGGCTCTCGCGGTGGCTTTATCGCAGGCAGTCTCTACTTGGAGGAAGGCCTTAGGCTGGCTCATGATAACACTCCTCGCTTGGAGGCGCTGGGACACATGCTTAGATTCTACAGGGCTCCGTACATCATTGCTGGCGACTGGAACGTGAGCCCGCAAGTTTTGAGTGGCAATGTGTTCGTGGAGAGGGTCGACATCCGGTCGTCGCGCCTGAAGGATCTCATCGCGTGTCAGCTTCGGGCAAATACACGTTCCTGGACTACTGGCTCGCGTCCGACTCCATGGCCGCTGAGATGGACAACGCTCGGCGAATTGATGACTGCCCAGCCCGACCACATTCTCCAATGAGCGTCGAGGTCGGCCCGAGACCTCGTGCACGACAAGTGGTTCATCTTCAAGCCCCTCGTGTTCTACCTGGCGAGCCCAGTCGCCCCCCGCGCCTGGCTGAGGATTCTGATGATGATGACGAGGATGCTGTACCCTTAGGCGATCCAGGATTTGACTGGGTGCATAAGATGCGTCAAGACTCTGCGTTGGGTGCAGGGGCTCCTGATGAACGAGCGGGGCGTCTTAATTGTCAGCAGCTCTACGCGGGCGTGGAGAAGGAGCTTTCGCCGCTGTTTGACTGCGACAACTCCGACAAGAAACAGGGCAGAGGACATGATGTCGTCTACCGTCGTACCGCAGCTGGCGGCGCGCTGTCACAGACGCAACCTGCTGGCACTACCCACTCGAGGGCGGTCAGAACCTT